TGCTTGAATAACCTAATCGTAATATAATGAATATAAACTTTTTTTATATTTAGAAAACATTTTAACACTTCTTTCACTTCAGTTTTCAGATAACTAAAAAAATATTTGAAAATGTTTTTAAAATATTTACTCCGTTTACTAGTTAAGTAACTTAAACTCAATTTAGTTTGAATTTTATTTAAATCAACTTTTATATATAAAATGTTTGTACATGTAGTCGGGCATACAAAAAAGGATATAGGATATATTATGATCATCTTGCATAAATAACTATTCCTGATACTTGAAATGATTGATAAAATTTAAACAATGAGACCTGCCTCTGGCAAAAGTTAGTAGGTACATGTTATAATTATGGAATTAATTCAACCTTAAGATGAAGCAAAAATTAATGAAGATGTAACAGGATGGGAAATATGAAGGATCACGGTGATTACAATATGTTATACAGACAAAATTATTTGTTATTTAAATATAATTCTTGATACTTAAATGTATCTATTTAAATACATATTATTATCGTCTTGAAAATCGTAAAAATGACTGGTCAAGTATGGTTGTGATGTTTTTATCTTAAATTTCCATATATGTCTTAATAGCTTTAGCGTTTAGAAGTTTTGTTAGTAAATTAAATTTTATTTGTGTTTAAAGTTCTCTGGTAGTAAAGGTAAGAAATGCCTTTACTAATAATTGCTTTTAATTGACTTATACTTCTAATTGTAAACTAGTTAAAGTAATAAAAAGTGACTATCTGCTGACGAAAATTTAAATTAAAAAAAAAAAAAAAACTGTAAATAAGTATCAATCCGCCTAAGTGATGATGAATTGTAATAAACCGTCTCCCATAGTTTAGTTTTTTATAGACCAATGTCTTGTAATATACTATTAGCTTAGATTGTTTACTTATTATATATTATGATGACAGTTATACATATATGACGGGCTAGTTGGTCTAGTGGGTCGGAGGCCGTGGGTTCGATTATCACCCGGGACAAATAACTGTGTGATGAGCACGATCGTTTGTTCTACATCTGGGTGTAATTTATCTATAACATGTATGGATTTGGAAATATATAAGTATGTTTCTCAGCAGTCTAGTTACCATAGTACAGGCTCTGCCTAGTTTGGAATCGGACGGTTTTGTGTGAGATGTGTGACTTTATTGTATTCTATATTATTATATTATGTATGAATATTAATATTTAAAGACGGCGAACAATAGTATAGGCAGGACAAAAAGTATTCATAAGAATAAATCTCCTAGGGCCATAGTAGGTAAACTAAATCTGACCAACATATGAAATAAATAATAAATATCAAATATTTCATATTCATTCAGATATTCTATTCCACACAACCCAGATTTATTTTAGGTTACTCAATGGCGTACAAATATGTATGACGAAATTTAAAAACTTTTTTCCTAATTTATATTTACCTTTTCTATTTTATATTATTTTTATATTTACCTTTATACTATTTGACAAAAGAGAATATGATAGGTTCTTTCAACCCTCTGAAGTTTTACGGGATTCCTAATTCATCATAATCATTATTATCTTCTACTCATAGGTCGTCGCAACGTGTAACGTTACAAAGGGTTTTCGCCGGTATCTTGTATAGGGAGCTGCCTGCTTAACGCTAGTCCTCTTTAGAAAAAAGCTTCGAAGGACAAACGAAGAAAATAAATTGAGTAAGGAAAGGTAAAAAACCGCGGTGAGGTTTTTCCAACCGAGACTTGCAATTGCAATAGATGGAATATGTGGTCTGAGATTGTAATAGATCTTAGCTTGTAATTTTTTAAGTTTTTGATACTCGTACGATCATCATAAAACGTTACATATTCATTTTACATGGGTATCGTTTTCTGAGAATATAGGGTAACTTTAATTAAAAAGTGTCCATTCTCGTCGGATATAAAAATCATTTTTAGGTAGTAGTTCGTCTTGATAAAACCTAGCAAATAACAAGAAGTACACTAGATATTATATAATAATATATAAATTTTTAAGTGTGCCTGTGCCCTCTCATCCCCCCGTATTTTTATTGGCCTATTGGTTTAGTGGATAGTGACGGCGATAATTTGTTTTGTGTCTAGGTGTAAATTACCTATAATATGTATTAGTACGGGCTGAGAAAGTTCAGATTAAAAAATAATAAACTGGCTGGTTTTTCAACGTGATAACTGGGGTAAAAGTATTAGTTTAAAAAAAATACTTTGGTAAAATCGGTTGGTGGCAAGTTATAAAAGAAATGTAGCAGGTGCCGGTTTATTAAAAAAAACAGGTAAAAACTTTTTTTATGAAAAAATAATAGGAGGTTGTATTGTGAGCAAATAACGAAGAAAATGAAAGTTGCTAATGCCAAATTTGTTAGAAACTTTAGAAACACGCTTTGTCTCATTTTATAATTATAAATCTACCCGATGCATGACAGAGCATAAAGATGACTTTTTATATTTTCGCAAATTGTGCGGAAACCTAATATTATTTTGCGACGAATTTTTTTTTACAAAAAAAACTGCATTAAAAGCTATAATTGAAGCCCTAAACAAATGTTGAGCCGAGTCGAGTCACACAGGCTGAGAAAACGGAGACGGGCTTGTTGGTCTAGTGGTTAATGACCCTGACTGCTAAGCCGGAGGTCGTGGGTTCGATTTCCACTCAGAATAAATAATTGTGTGATGAGCATTAATTCTGTGTCTGGGTGTAATTTATTTATGATATGTATGCATTTAGAAATATATAAGTATGTTTATCAGCAGTCTGGTTACCATAGCACAGGCTCTGCCTAGTTTGGAATCAGACCATGTGTGAGATGTGTGAAGTTATTAAAAAAAAATGAATGTCGAAAATCGCGACTTTTTCGAGATTAAAACGTTTTTTCTTTTAAAGTTTCTAACAAATTTGAGTTCAGAAAAACTCATTTACTTTGTTATTTTCTAACACTACAACTTCCGATTTTTGTTATTCCTGTTTTTTTTTTAATAAACCTGTTTTTCCCAACTTTTTTTCAATAACTTGTCACGATTGTGCAATCTGAGTGTCTAAAAAAGGATATAAAGGGTTATAACCCTTTCTGGTCTAGTTTATGCGAATTTAGCAAAAAAAAAGCAAACACATCGGCACAAATAAGATTATTTAGCGATTGAATACGTCTATTGCAGATTACATTATGAATTCCGGTGTAGATGTAGCCGAGAGTAGAAAAAATATCGATAAATTGAACCACAATGTAAACATATTTAACAGACTTATTGATAAATTGAAATCGCGGTATTGCCGGTGCGATATATCTTTACTTATTGGAAATATGTCTGATTTAATAAATAAGCCGATCTTGCCCCACACAATACCTGCTTATTTCTTATTTGAATTGAATACATATATTTGCGAATGTACGTTTGTATTTCTTTCCTCCAATTGTAAGGAAGTCAAATGACCTTTAAGTTTGTGGAAATAATCCAATTTAACTAGTGGTTTGAGGAAAAGGACAAATGAAGTAATGTTTCAAGCGGTTATGTTTGTGTAGTTTCTTCTTTTAGTTGCTTCTTAGATATGGTTTGGAAGAATAAACGGTGGTTTTATTTGGAGATGTGTAACCATTAACATATTTCACGTTGTTTACTCCTCGGATTCCTTGAAAGAATACAAATTACGTATTTCGATAGGACTAAATGACACATCAAGAAATGGAAAGATATGTGTCACCTAAGTTTTTCTTTCATCTTTATCTTTCTTCTTCTTTCATCTATATCTTTCTTCATCTTTATTGCTTTGATTGAGTAGATACAGTTGTTGTAGGTACATAATATTACATAAATACATTATAATTCTAACTGAATACGATTGCCATTATTTTGAAAAAGGTACTTAATCAGCTAAAGGTATACTATAAATCGGTAATGAGTCAAATTGTGTCTGATACTATTTTCCCAAAATAATAAGAATTTAAGGTGAAAGTTACATTTATTTAAATTTGAATAATAAGGCACCGGTTTAAATAGAGTTATTAATAAGAAGTGAAATAACAAAACGTATTCTTTAACGTGAAAATAGTAAAAATACCTTTAGAAGAAAAAAAGAAATTGCAGTGTGAAAAACAGTATTCTAATATTAAAACTTAACAAACTAATGTTTTGTGTTTCATATAGCTTATAAATTGTGTTTTACGTATTTAATTCCATACATATTTGCACGAGGTTCATTTAAAGTTCATTTACGATGTACTGTTGCAAGCCATTTACCGTGTTAGGAGATATTATGTTGATACTACATACTTCTGGTTTAAAACTGTAATTTACTAAAAAAGTCAAAATGACAAAAAAATGACGGAAAACAGTAATTTAACTCCTATAACTGTGAGTAAATGCAACACATAAAGTTACCCTGTATAAAGTAGGCCAGGTAAATTATATGAAATAGGTTCGTATGCAGTATAGGAATCTGTAAAACGTCACGATTCCGTGAATAGTGCTGTAGTGAATTTTAATTTGTAATTTGATTCCTACAATTAGCATAACATAGCATGCTATTGATTAGTTTAATATTTATTTAAAAAAAACACATCATGTCTCCTAAGCTCATTACTTACGCATATGATCTATAAACTTGAAATAAAAAATAAAGTTTTATATCATAGATATATGATAATTCTGAATGAAACTTAAACCCAGAGTATTTTATTTATCAAAATCTGTCTTATCTTAATTAATTACAGTTGTTGGTTTAAAAAAAGAATTGAAATTAATTGGAACTTTTTTTTTGTTGTTGTAATGTATTAGATATTATACTTATACTTTAAGTAGCGCCTCAACATTTCGGTCTGTTTACCCAAAAGACTTCATTCCTTATATATTTATTATCTACATTCAAATAAATAAAATTAACGCAAAATATTCATGTTTATATTTGCACCTTAGATAAATTAAACCTAATCGGGCCGAAGTAATGGTATATGAATTACAGTTCTCAGGAGAAATTGCTTTTTAATCGAATAAAATGTTCACTTACCCCCGAGGCGGGCACTTCGCGGCTCGAAGCGAGATGAACGCGTGGCAGAGCGAAGCGGAAGTAAGGAGCAGCACGCGGCCGCACCGCTCAACCCTGCAACCACAACTGATTTTCCAGCGCGAAAACTTCCCTCGAACGCGTCATCACTCACCCCATTCCCGCTCCAGCCAATCATCTGTGGGCGACACGGTCGAAGCCTACCGGTGCTGGCCGATGTCCCCCGAACGCTGGGGTGGCGATTGGATCTTTTAATCTGAAACGTAGATGCATACAAAAAGAATACGATGTCTCTGTAAGCCACCGTGCACGGGTTGAAGGCCAGAGCTAGTCGCGCAACAGGTAAAGCTTTTCAGACTCATACTGGATGTGTTACTACCTATTCGACACGACCATATTTCATCACATGAATATTTTAGTTGGTTTTAAGCTATTCAGAATTATGTTTATATTTTATCATGTATTGAATCATGCGTTTACTGTCAAGTAAATTTAAAAAAAATTAGGACTGCTAACGCGTGAGTGACAACCCTAATGTTGTTATTAAAAGTAACTATATGTAGTAAGTACTAGTAACTATATGTGTGTGTACCTACACATATGTACAAAAATATAGGAATATAGAATACTATGTACTCCGTAAGTGGTGTACATAGTTTGAGGCAGACTGATTGGTAGATACTCGTAGAAACAAAATGTAAACTTAATTTTAATTTTGTTGTTAAATTAAAAATATAAAATATTATGTTGTAGTATTTAATAGCTCGTAGATGAGTTAAGCTAAAATGTCTCTACGGATAATACTTATATGATTGTCGCTTCTTCAAGTGTTAGTGAAAGTACTTTGTACATTGCCCACTTGGAACCCGGATGTGTCATATACAGTCTATAAATGGTATTATAGTGGTAGTGTATGTTTTGCATTGGAATATGTGCAAAATGTTGTAAGCTTCAAAATAAATAATTTAACGAATGAATGTACTCTCAGAATCTAAAAAATTATAATTTACCTCATTTACAATTCTAATTATTTGTATACATCTAAAAGTAGGGACGGGTAATATTATAAACATATGATTACGAGGGTCATTTTTTAATTGACGTGCGGCGAGTGAGGGTCTTGTTTTAGTGTTATTTGCAATTTTGGTAAAGACGCTTAGCTGTTTTTTTATTTAACATTAAACCAAACGAGTTATTTTGCGATGATTTATGAAAACATATTTTATTTCCTACAAGTTCAAAATATTTTTAGTAGAATTAAATATTCTTCCTATTAGTTAAACCTAAATATATGTAATATTTGTAATGAAAAAAGCCATGAAAATAATATTGGGGCTTTTCAATTTAATTTCTAACTCATAATGTTTTTTTTTTCTTTTCAATGAACAAGACTACATGACTTTTTATCTAAAACAATTACCTGAGTAAATATTCAGAAATCAAAGAGGATATCTGATGAAAAGGTTCCAAAACTGTAAAAACTATCTGCAAACGTAAGTAACTTGACGAAAGTGTGTGCTTCGAAATAACTAGATATAACTATGCGTAGAGTTTTTTTTTATATTGACACATCTCACACACGATCGTCTGATCCCAAACTTAAGGCATACTTAAATATTTCAAAATTTACACATATTATAATTACATCCAGACATAGGACAAATTATAATATTATATGTGGGAATGAGTGGGAATCGAGCCCTAAACCTCTGACACAGTAGTCAGGATCCAACCACCACTAGAATAAGAGGCAGGCCAGAATCTCTCCCATACCTTTTCAAAAGTGCGTATTAATTTTAATTTTCATTAAACAAAAACGTGTAGGAAATCACCTAAAAATATTAGACTTTCTGCAGTTTTCGCTAGATAAATCATTCTGTTAGACTGCCTAAATCAGCAATAGCTCACGTTGCTATTGGCTCCTGGGATTTATAGTAATTTAACTTCACCATATCTATGTGTTTATAAATGTGTGTGTATGGTTACTATAAAGACCTTTGAAATATTATATATACATTCTATTAGTTGTATACTATTTTAATGAATTGAAGTCCTCGGCAAATCTATTAGCATATTCTATCAAAGACGTGCAGTGTATATGTAATTGAAACCTTTCAATTATATTCTGTATTAGGACACGTTACGAGTGGACCATTAGATTACTTGTTTAATTCTTGACCACGAGAGGCGCGGTAATCTAAGTTGTAAACTAAATCTTGGGCTCCGTCTCACATATCCCCCATAAGCCGGGCTCGGCTGCTATTTGAATGCTCCTCGAACGACCACGAATTAGTATGCGCGCTCCATTCGGGCCACACCGTCCCAATGGGCCGTAAGCGCCTCTATTCTACACCACGTAAACGTGCTCGTATATTTTTGATACCAGATTTGTTGTCTGCACAATTCGATATTAAGCAAATCGAAAATTCATTTGTATGTTACATTTGTAAATTATGTCATTGTATAGACTTAGAGTTAAGTGCAAGTTATGTGGGGTGTCTCTGATATTGCGCTGCTTCAAAAAATGTTACCCATAAAGATATTATGGATCTACTGAATTTACTTTAAAAACGACTTTAATATGCCAAAATTTTGATACATAGTAAAGAGCTTTATTTTTCATGAGGTCTTTTCCACCTTTAGAGGTAGAATATTTTCTCTAAATTAAAATGAGAGAAACCTCCTTGAAAAATATTTTTTGATATTTGTTCACAAATAGCTAAGATATTGGTTAAAAAGAGTGGATGCCAGACCGTAATCAAGCTTTCTTAGATATTAAAAGGTAGTTTGTATATTACTGTTCCCTAATGTAATTATTAACTCGAATGAATATTTCAAAACAATTACTTGCGGTATAATTGATAGACTATCTATTAGCAGTTTTCATTTCGTTTTGTTTTTAAAAAAGACAACTTCCGCACTACGAATACATCCTGCGTCGCGGGGGACTTTACAAACATACATGAAACGGACACAAAGAACTACAACCTCAGACTAAGAACGACAATTTGTGGATCACACAAAGTGTTGTAGGTTCGATCCCCGAACCTACAACACGAACCTACACTACACAATACGCCATCCGTGCAGTCAAAGTTCTAGTAATGCACTCAACAAAACACCAGTTTTGATATTACTAATTTCACTGACATCTTAGTCACGAAAACATTGTATTCTTTCAAAATATAAAATATAATTTCCAAGCTCAATAGATAATAAAATATTTTATTTGCAAATTACTTAAACTAATTCTTTGAAAAGGTATCAATAAAGATTATTATACTCGTATGTATAATTACATTAATATCATTGTTTCATGTTTAGTTACCTAGCTGGTATACAGAATAGCCCACCGAGTCGGTTCAATTTGTGACCGGGATCTTGGGATACGTTCATTTTGTATATTACAACTAGCACGGAATCATTCCGGAGGTTGAATTATGTAAATATGAACTCAAATACATATTCGTGCGAATAAATGTTGTTCCAACTTCTACACAAATTAGTCCAAACATTTTGTTCACACGAAAATGTTTGAGTTATATGGGAAGATTATAACGTAGTAATAGTACGTAACGTAAAAATAGTTTAGTTTTGATGTGGGTTGGTGAACTAAAATGATTATGTTTAATTAAGATTTGTGAAGACAAAAGTAATAATTGCAAATTAATAAGTTTAAAACTAAAACCACTTCCTGCCTGCAGTCGTTTGCTTACAAATAGTTGTAGAGTTTTCTGGAACAGCTGTTATTAAATAAAATTCTAATGAAAAAACATTATTTTCTGTGCTAAAATCCCGCTCTTCAGTTTTCTAACGTGAAACTATCCTATAAACAAAAATAATTTCATTTAGACTACTAATGTAAAACAAATATTTTACGTTCAAGAAAAGTTTATAGTGCATAATAGGGCCACACTACGCGGTTACGTAGAACAGCAAACACAAAGTTCTAAAGTGGGCTTTTACGTATCTTGATGTAGTTTCTCTTATCTCAGGCCCAGTGGTATTGTTTCTATTACATATTGCCTGATACGAACATTCAGATTTACATAGCTACAAGCGTGTCATCGTATAGTAAGATGCGTAGCATGTCTGCTACGACGTAGGTCGATTTGTAGGCATTATGGATACGAGCGGATACCACGATACCGTTTTTGTGTGATCATAATAGTTTGCATATATATGTAAAAAAATGAGTGTTCTTCTGTTTTCAAAATTTCATTAGGAATCTTTTTGGAAACATATTCTGAGTGCAAAAAAATTGATTGATGGGATTAAAGTTAGAACAACATATAAAGTAAAATCAAACATTTCATTTTAGGGGAAAAATAAAATAAGTGAAATATATTAAAATAACTTCCGGGATTTGTAAAATTATGTCAAGTTAGTTCTTTATTTATAAACTTGGAACTGTCACACTCACGGTCAAATGTGCTAATAGTACTCAAATTTGAGACTTGATCAGGAATCGTGTTTTTCAGGATATGTTTTTTCTATTGAAGAGGTGAACCTAAATAATCTAAAAGAACCTACTGGACCTCTGCAGTTGGTTTTTTTTAAGTTATGCCTGAACCTTCGGCCATAGACACACGTAGGTTTTAGTAGATTGCGATATAACCGCGTCGGTAATGTTGGTTGGGGTTGTACCTGGTTTTACTATTAGAAAAGGTCAACAGAGCTTCATAGAAAAGCATAGCATTTAAAATATGGATGCTGTTGTTTATGTATGTATCTACGTATATAAAAGATGAGTAAACTAGGTGTTATAATGCGAATCATTCCAAAGGCAAGAGACAAGTACTAATTAAAGACAGTTTAAGTCATCCTAATTTCCCTGTTCTATGATATTGGAAATAGGTGTGGACAGGTGTCACCCGTTGGTAAGTAACTACTGCCACGTTCAATTCCAGAGTCACAAGTGGTTGAGTATCATTCAAGTATTAAAAAACAAATGTCTTGACACTTTTCGCAAGTTGCAAGCGCTATGAACTCGTCATTCATAATGGAACATTATTATTCAAATGTGTCAAAAGAAATATAGGCACCGGTTAAAAAAGTATATCGTTATGCACTATAAGAACGAACGTGGGTGAAAATGCTATAAAATGATTTTAAAAATGAATCGTATAATAATAATTCTGCAATTTTGCTACGAGAATCCACTTAAAATATTTATTAACAAACATGGTTGATTAAATTGTGTCAGTAATGAGCTCGACGATGACCTGACACTGATGTCTGTAGGGCCAGGAGGCAATTTAAAAATTTGTCCCAAGGCGTCGCCTAGTTGTCTATATTATGTGGGTGAGATATGCAGGGCGCCTGCCGCGTCGAGTCCGCCCGTCCATAGACCTACCAACATTACCAGAACTGGTAGAAAACCTCGTATATTTGATTTGCAGAATAGAAGAATGATTAGACATCTGATGACAGTTATCTATAACATTTTAGAATTTCTTTAATAACTGACCTTTTACTATTCTTCTCTCTCTACTGTGTTAGTATTCTTTAACTCTTCTTTTTGGTATGAAGTTTTTTTACATAAATTTTCTCATTAGCTTCCATGTTCAGTATCTGACGGAACACCGTGTGGTTTTACTACTTCAACCTTGGTTCTGGTGAGGTGATGACCGGTGGAGGTTCTCACGTGAAAAACAAAATAGTTGAAGTTACAAAAATAATCTCGCGTTTATTAATCATAATCTTAAGTTATTTTATGTAGTACAGTTATTTCGTTCTATACATCAGTCATTTTTGTAAATAGTAAACTCTATTATGACATGTTACAATAAAGCACCTTTTCAATAAAATAGTCAACAAAGTAAAATCTCTTTAGAATTATAAAATTTATTTATTAAGTTTTCAATACACATTACCGTCGTAAAACTTCATAAATAACATTGTTTAATTTAAGTTTGTCAAATTGTGACATTACTAGAATTTAAGAATGGGAGTGGAGTCACTTCTTAAAAATAAAAAGTGCTTGTATATATAGCTCTGATACGATATGTTGTAAATTTCCTTGAACGAACATACATTTTAAATAGACGAGTCTGAACTCAACGGTTAAAATCCAGAAAAGGAATTGAAACATTAAAAATAATGGTTTATAAACAAGTTTATTAACAAAATAATTATTTGAAATAAAACTTTAAAAATGAATAACACTATGAGATACTTGTAACATTAAAGGTAAATAGGATATGATGAAATTAAAGTGTACATACAAACTTTATCGCTAAAGTTACAAGAGCTGAAATTCCAAATTCCATCATCATTTAACAAAAAATACCTATATTTACTGTTAAACTTCAGGTCCAAAAATTTAAAACACTTAAAGTTAGCCTTATTATAGGATACATAAAATTCTCTGCGGTTTTTTTCCACTAAATAGAGTTGACCCCTGTCCTACACTCACGCAGCACACATATTTACCTTAAACGAATATCCTTAAACAATGAAATATCAACTTCTAATTCATTGTAATAAGTGATATATCGTATAATATCACCGTATACGAGAATATCAACATGTACTTGTAGTCGCAGCCCCAGGGAAACGAGAGTGGTGGTCGATGCCATCAAGCCGAAATTTTTCTTAAAATTAAGAAAACAATACGTATAGTTACATCCTGAAGACTCTAGTGTTCTTCGGTGTATCAGGTGCGGTCTGTGTGGTGGAGCGGAAAAACTCTTCAAAATGTTCGCGACAGTTTTGCAGTTGATGTTCAGACGTCGCAATTAGCTGCCCGTCCTTAGACTTCAGAGGCTTCTTTTTGGGTCTAATATTTCCTACCGGGTTTTCGGTTCCACTCATCGTCCATGGAGCCCTCGTTAGTGTTGAAGATTTAGAAACGATTACGGAGCTCAAACTTGAACCTGGTGCAGGTGTCAGACTTCTGTGACATCAAATCCTTTGCCTTTGAACAAGTGGTGGTCGCTGTCAATATCAGCGCCCCTTCGGTTACGGACGTCGAGTAACGAGGACCAATGGCAATGTGGTCAATCTGGTTCTTGATGAGATCCACGTGTACTTATGTACATCTCGATGGAGAAAAAGAGTATCGCCGATGGTCAGGTCATCGTGTTGGCAGAACTTCACAAACCGCTCTCCATTTTCGTTGCATGTTTCCTATGTATCGTTCGCAGTCAGTGTTATCGCTCCCAACTTTTGCATTTAGGCCTTCCATGATGATTACTATGTCTTGCTTTTTAATTACATTTATGGTCGCATTGAGAGCGTTGTAGAAGGTAGAAGTCGTCTTTGGAATCCCCTGCAGACGTGTTGGTGGAAGCGTAGAACTGCACGATAGAGATCTTCCGGGCTCTTGAGTTTATTCGAGCCCAAATGATTCGGTTCGAGATCGGTTTCCAGTCCAGAAGCATCAGCATCATCAGAGAGCAGTAAACCAACACCATATTCGAGGGTGTCCTTCTCACTTTCCTTGCCAGAGTAAAGGAAAGTCAAACTTTTGGGCGTTCTTAGATCACCGAAACCATTCATACGCACTTCGCTGAGGCCTAGTATTTGCAGCTGGTATCTCAGCATTTCTGCTTCTGCTTGGGCTAGGCGGCTGTCGTCGCTGAGTGCTCGCATATTTCAATAAGAAATTCGTGTTTCTTCATACTAAAGGTAGCTGTTAAATGATCGGTCCGGTTTCTTATTGTATTCGTTTCTTTAATCAGGTGAGTTTTCGGGCAAGCGGATGATTCACCATCTGTGCTTAAGCCCGGTGGCGGGACTGCCACCACAGAGCTTTCACCACAGGTTTTATTCGGATACCTTCCTCAGCGATAAGCTTCTGTTTTAAGGCGCAAAATATTTGCCTTTCGCCCTGCATCCTTAGCTCAGCTGCAATTTGAGGCAGTGGATACGCGGGAGCGTGGTCGCAGCAGGTCCCAGAGTGGATGACTAAGATGTGGATGACGCGGACTTTCCGGGGTTCTGCTAGACTGGTGTTCCACTACTTAACACAGCACATGATTTCTTGGTATTTTTTAGGTAATGCCGGTCTCACTACGTCAATAATACGTCGTCGATAATACAGCGTGATATTTATTTGATGTCTAATGTTAATGTGACCTTTCTAATTTTAGATGTTTAGAATTTAAACCAAAATAGTAAACGAGAGAAATCTATCAAACTAAATAAATTAAGTAAATGTTTTTCTTTTCAGTCAGACCTTTGAAGTCAGATTGGCACTACTAAGTATAAAAAACGGAAACGCAGTTGGCCCCGACGGAATACCAGTGGAAGTTTGGAAGTTACTGAAAGAAGACGGATATGAGTGGCTGACTCTATTCTTCAATATGTTGTTGCACGAAGAGGTAATCATAATGAATGTGTGGGAGAAAGTGATTAAGAGAAGAATAAGAGATGAGAGTGAGATAAACCAAAGTCAATTTGGGTTTATGCCAGGACGCGGGACAACAGATGCTATATTTGCAATGCTCCAACTATGTGAGAAATACATGAGTGCGCACAAAAACTTGCATATGGTGTTTGTGGACCTCGAAAAGGCATATGATAGGGTACCCCGAGAAGTTTTGTGGTGGGCTTGGAAAGAAGAAAGAAGAAAGACTGTCGCTTAGGATGTAGAATGAATTCGTGGTATGCACAGAGACTCCAGCACTCCAGCACTCGTGTAAGGTCAATCTGATCAATTCTGTGTCTCTGCAGGGTTACACCAGGGATCTGCTCTGAGCCCATACCTCTTCTTGTTGATAATGGATGCTCTGACTTACAGGAGGAGGCACTTTGGTGCATGCTATTTGTAGATGACATTGTGTTGGTCGGTGAAGACGGGGGTGAGGTCTAGAGCAGATTAAAAAAAAGGCAACAAAGGCTGGAGAATGTTGGCTTGAAAGTCAGCAGAACCAAGACTGAGTACATGTTCTGCGATATCGGCAGTCTCTCCAGTCCTGAAAGCATTTCGCTGGATGGGATAGCGATAACAGTCGGCTCCCTCTTAAAATATGATGGTGAGATTGATGGAACTGTACAGCATCGAATCAATACGGGATAGATGAAGTGGCGCCAGGTAACGGGAACAATTTGTGACGCCAGTTTTCCTTAAACACTGAAGGAACAAATTTATAAAACTAATGTCAAACTAATATCATGTCGTCCGGTATGGTTCTGATAGTTGGCCCATTAAGAGAACGGATAAGTCACGCCTGAATGTAGCCGAAATGCGAATGCTGAGATGGACGTGTGGTGTGACTCGGATGGACAAGGTTAGGAATGAGTATATACGAGGGAGTCTGAAAGTAGTACCACTGGATGAAAAGTTAAGAAGTAATAGGTTTTCTAGGACATGTGAAAAAAAGGAAGGAGGAAAAGTATTAGGTATGGGAGAGGATACATGGGAGTGGGTACAAGAGAAAAGGAAGACCAAAGAAAAGGTGGATGGACTTTGTGAGTGAGGATATGGCTAGGAAGGGAGTAAACACTGAGATGACGAATGATAGAGTAGAATGGAAGAATCATACTTACTGTGCAAATCCCAAATAAAATTGGGATAAGGGTAGGCAGATGATGATGTCATTCTTTTCGTACACTGTTTTTAGAGTACCAAGTGACAACTGTCAGATCTATACTATATTTAAATTTATTTTTAGTTTAGTTTAGAGATTTTTTAGCAACAGGATTGACAGTATAATATTATTATTATTGCCTCATCGCCATCTTAGCCTAACTGATTATTATCTATTAGGTTGGTCACCATTATACAGATAAGGTAATAACTCACGGTATGTCTACAGATATGTAAGTCTGTGTTGCTTCCTGCGGCGGGCGCGCACGGGGAGAAGGGCGCGAAGTTGACTTGATTGGAAACCCTATTCCATATTTATTATGGGCCTATTTTGTCATGTTTATTGACGCGCTGTCGGGATATAACTCCACGTTATTAGGCGAGTTTCAAACTTACTTTATTGAATAACACAAACGGCGATCTTGTGACTTTTTTTTAGTTTAACTTAGGGTTAATAGCTTTATAATAACTGGGTCATTTTACATTTTTTATTACAACGTGAAGCGTAATCATGACTGATTTTGTAAAAAAATGTAAGTAATGAATGTTTGTGACGATTTCCTCGCATACATGTTTAAGCATTTGTGTTACAAAGCACTAGCTTCATAATTTTAGTTTCAGTTTAATTGTCTTTTGTGATGTAAGTAATCAGAGTAAATTAAAATGACTAAAATGAGCAAAAATAAGAGCGTAAAAACATTTTACTTAAAACTAAGTAAAAAAGGTTGAGATTCAACTGATACTTGTATAATGACTAATACACTATTTCTTCCTAACTATAAAATAAGTGTGCCAAAAATGTTAGGCTCTAAATACAATGCTTCGCAGGCGTTAGAAGCTTAGAGAAAACACTTAATATGAGGTCGAAAGTCTATCAACAAGGCGAACAGCATGACTTGAAGGGAGTACCGTCTCTGTGCTGCGTTCAAGCGTGGGCAAAAACCGTTTGTTTCAAAAATGTTTTTTTAATGGTAACGAGGTTGCGTATTCCTGAGGTTTAAGATATTTGATCTTATAGCCTATGACTATGTATGGTAGTACAATATTTCATTGAACATTCATAACACAGAACATTCATAACATACATAAATCCTAAGCTCGTAAGACCAAAAGTGGTGAAAGAAGTTCTATTAATCTTGATTTTGAGAATATTGGACATTTTGACCATTAAATATATCGTCATAAAAATACATTCCAGAAGGCCGCAGAACTGCAAAAAAGTGTTTCGAAAACTAGTTTAGACGCATGGAATTTTTATATTGAGGCTGATGGAGATTACTTTAAAAAAATATGTTATCCATATAAGTTGGTTTCTTAGTTTCTCGAAACTTTCTGAGTTCCATACGTATATTGCCAAATCATAGCATCATCGTCATCACATCAACAGCCTATAATAGTCCACTGCTGGACATAGGCATTTCCTTAGAAAGGAGGTTTTGGCCTACTATACCACGTTGGTGGTATAGTTTGGGGTTTGTGTGTGTGCAGTGATGTTGTCCTGCATAGGCTGCTCCCTTAGCCGGCTCTTACGACACCCATGGGATGAAGAGGGGTGGTGAGACCATTGGTCCAGGTCTACCAGGTCAGGTGGACCAGGACTACGTATTCTTAATCCGTCACCACACGGACAATATATATTATAATTTCATAAATGAATTACATCCAGATACAGAACAAGCTATAATGTCATTACACAAACATTAGAAGGGTAGGAGTCGATCTCACGACCAGGGCAGGGTCATATATTGTTCTGTACAGTCAAATGGTACAAGTATTTAAGACCATTGAAGAGGTAAATAAGCATATGATACGCCTAATTATTTAAATAATTTTATTGGTTTAAATTATTCGAAGGATTACATCGTTTTAAACTTCAAGTAAGTGTGTTATAGCTCAATAATGAGGTACTTGTTTAAAAAATATATATTCACTCAACAAAAATAAACAGAGAAGTGAAACGATTGGAGGCAAGCTCACTAGCCGGTTAAAATACGTCCCAGTGCGCCCGGAAGCGTTGTTAAAGGCATTATTATCCGGACGGTCGCGCTGCAAATAAATCGTCTGCCGGGCGCTCGCTCTTTCGATTATCTTCAAATCTTCATTACACCGAACGTATGCTCTCAGTTCACCTTACACATTGAAGATTTTATAGTGATACCGATAAAAAATTACAGATTTATTGATCTATCGTTTACTTTTTTAAATTATGTTGTAGGGGAGATAATGGGCATCTATTTATTTTACATCTTATCGGTTGATAAAAACGGACATATGGACAGGATTGTAGATTAGATATTAGGATTGTAGGACAAACTGAACAGTATAGAATCGACAAGTTTGTTCTACAACTCCTTAACTCTTTCCTAAACGTTAGCTATCTCAATTCTATGGATGCATGAACCACAAGTTTGCACATAATACCCTCAGGACATGAGTTTATTCGCATTTTGAAGAGGTGGTTCAAATATATCAAAAAATCTATGTGTTAACTCCGTATATTGACTGATAGAATCTGGAAATACAGTAAAAAAAGAATTAGTAATTAACATGTGAAACGACACAACTTCAAAAGTTCTTTAGTCACTTACCGTAACTTTCGCATGAGCTCACAGCACGAGGTATGTATCAAATCTTACATCAGCGAGTACGTAAGTCGTATAAAGTATATGTTTACTCGTAATACGAATTGAACATTGCAAGAAAATTCCAGCCGACATGTTTCAAACTCTATGAAGCAATGAAACTTCAGTTCAATAACAAACTTTTAATGAAACACGGTTAGTTGATCTTTGTGCTGGATGGTTTTTGATTAAATAAGAAGTAAATAAAAACGTTATTTAATTATATGTATTATAAATCTTACTATGATTTGACGCTATAAAAAGTATCTCTTATTACGTATGAGTTATTTTACAATTTTACATAAAAGGAACCTGCCAATCCCAAAGTGGTAGATTTACTTGCCGCCTTAACTATACACCACTTAATAATAGTAAGAAAAACTAACTTCTTGTTAATTACCTATGACTAGTTTAGGTAAGGATGCACATTTTGAAACTAA